CTGCTGGGCAGGAGGTGGACACCTGGCCACGTGGCTCCCCCAGAGCACGTCCTCCCGACCAGCTGGGTGTCCCTGGAGGAAACTAGAACCTTATCTTGTGTGTCATCTTGCATAGTACTTCCCGGTACAGTACATCACAGTTAGTCTTGTAATTAATGTCTTAACCTTCAACCATGTTTTATTCATTATTTTATTATGTGTAACTTGAAAATTTTTGTTCTAATTTTTCTAATGCAGAACATTCTAAATCTGAAAGGCAGTTGGAAGTTGTCTGATGGAAGTGTGAATAGTTGCTGCTTTCCTGATCAAAGCTGTAGGGCTAGTGGACACTTAGAGTAGGACTTAAAGCTAGAATCAGGCATGTCTTTCTTGTGAGTGAAGAATGATCCCAGAGATTTTGATTGAGAAGCTTTACAGTGCACTTAAATATAATCTTTCTTTTTAATTTCATTGTGAAGCCACAAAACAAACTTTTTTCTTTGGAATTTACTTCTCACTTACCCATTTCACAGGGGCAGTAAAAGAGATTCATTCCCACTAGTAATGTCTCTTGAAAGATACTTTCAGCTTTGTTTTCAGTAGTGAATATCGCACAGTGTTGTGCTGAGCAGGATGTGGTGGTCAGGGTGCCATCCCTTGGGGACGTCCTTCCTAGGAGAGTGCCCGGTTTCAGTGTGGGTTCCATTCCTCTCAGTGTCTGCCTCAGTCGTGGGCACCCACCTGTACATTTCGCAGCATTCATGTCCTTCCCGGGGGTGTATTTCACCCTTACCCCAAGTTGTTTCACACCCACAGGTGACCACTGTCCTCTTGTCCCTAAAATTTTACCTAATGCCACTGCCCAGATTTCGAGTCAGGTTCATTCCCAACTCATACGGTTGTAGCTGAATTCTGAATGCAGAATCCTGGGCGGCCAGCCAGTAGGAGCTGCCAGCCAGTTGGGTGGGAGTGGGAACAATGGCCAGTGTGAGACAGGAAACTGCCTCTGACGTAACCTCAATAGTGTTTATAAAAACCCTGTGCTCTGTAGCTGGAAAAATAAATGTTGGACCCTGGATGGCTTAGCCTGAGGCTGAAATTCAGGCTTTCCTCGTTACCCAGAGAAAGTAGGTTCCCTCCTGTTGGCCTGTCAGAAATACTGTTTTCAAAGGCATCCATGTGCCTGTCGCTGTCAGTGATCATTGTGTCCTCGGTTGATACCTTGTGTCCTGAATAGAGGATTCCTGTGGAGGGCCTTCTGAACCCCCTCACGTGAACAGGAGGGGGCGCCCTAGGGCTGAGTAGTTCATACAGAGGACCTGGGGAGAAGTGACACCCATGGCCACCATGCAGCTGACATCCTGCTTCTGCATGAAGGTTCCAGAAACTGGCCATCCCAGTCAGATTAATTTCTTAGGATGCTGTCAAGATGGGTCTTCCTATTAATGAAGGGATCTGAGGGCCAGAGTCCACTTTTGTTTTTCTAGGCAAAATGCTTAGAAAAGCATTTGCAATCCATGTTAGATATATCTGCTGTGTAAAATTACTTAAAAGGGAATTTTTGTGATTTGAGTTCATTGGTAGCTGCTTTAAAAGATAAGTTAATTTATTTCAAAAATAAGAAAAAATAGATGAGTATGTGAATTTTTAAGGCTGAGAAATAATGTTTCCATACTTTTCCTGTGAAGAAAATAATTTTTTAAATCTTTCATGTCCTGTAGAGAATATCGACTTGCCCCCTGTAATATGGTACATTATGTTTGCACTACTAGAATATCGAGACTGAAGTGTAAAAAAATGTACATACAAGGTGATTTTTATATCCTTTTCTAAAAAGGGGTTTGCATCTACTGTGCTAGGCTGCACATGACTGGTCTAAAGTTGAGATGTGCTAGTTTATAAGTCACTGGTTTTGGTACTTGTGTCTTTGCATGATCAACAGCATGCAATAAACAGTACGAAACACCAGGCCTTATACTGATAATTAAACTCCTCAGCACATCAAATGTATATAAGTGACAAATGAGGCTTTTAAGGAAGTGTGCATATAACACAGGAGCTCACTATACACTAAGAATCTTCCTTAGAACTAGGAAAACATGTATTTGGGGAGAAAGGTTAGGGGCTTAAGAAGTTATATTTTTCTATTTTAAATGGTTAAATTATTGTATAATTTGGAAAAAGTTGCTTTGAATGTAGGACAAAACTATTTCAAAGATTTTTGTTTGAAAAAAGGATATATTTTGTGCCTTAATATTTGTTGTGACTTTTAATAAATTGCTTTCTGAAGTTTTGGGTGATTGGTTCTTGATAATATCTATTAGTGCTAGATTGTATAAATCTACCGACTCCAGTTGATGGCAGGACATGAAATTTTTAAAAGAGGAGGTACAACTGTCAAAGAAACGTCCAGACCTGTAAGGATTTGTATTAGTCTATTTGAGCCAAACTGATGACAGTTGCTGGGAAGCAAAATCTCAACGGATTGAGAAAATGCTCTGGAAAATGGCAGTTTACTACCTATTTTATACATTGTAATCAAAGGAGGAGGCATAAGGGTGTTACATAAAATCCACTGGTGATAGGTTAGGGAGGCGGGAGAAAGCAAAGCAGGGAAATCTCGGAGGTTGAATAAAAAGTAAAATGATAGACACATCTTTTACATGGGTGGGTATAGGATAGTTAACCATTAACATGATAACAATGCAGTGAGGGGATTGTGGCCTCTGCTCTGGTGTGGTTGTGCTTCCAGAAAAAAATTACTTTGAAATTCCGAAGATATATTACCAGGTATGTTTATCATAGATGCAAAAAAAGAAAACAGACAGGCTCAGTTAAGGTAAACATTGATCTTTGTCATGACTCCCTGCCATGAGCGGCTTTTAGTTAGAAAGGTTTAATGTCTGACCATCCTCTGCGGTTACTTTAGGTCTCTATTTGTAAGGCTGCCACGCAGGCCTCCCCTGAGCTCGTCAGGTTTAGTATGTGGCCCCTCTTTCATCCACAGAGCTAATCAGCAGACAGGGAAAGGTGTTCAGCCTCAGTAGTGATCAAAGAAATACAACATAAAAGATGGGGAAATTTTTAAAAATTGACCTAAGTGTATACCATTATATATTTGTAAAATCCTTTTGCTTTCAAAGTCTGATGAAATGAGTATATTAAGAAAAGACGTTCAACAGTGTGTTTATAACCTGTGAATAATGCCAATTCTGATGTTTTTATATATATGTTTTATTGATTTCAGAGAGGAAAGGAAAGGGAGAGAGAGAGAGAGAAACATCAGTGATGAGAGACAACCATTGATTGGCTGCCTCCTGCGTATCCTCCATTGGGGATCGAGCCCGCAACCCAGGCATGTGCCTTTGACTGGAATCGAACCTGGGACCCTTCAGTCCATGGACCAACAGTCTATCCGCTGAGCCAAACCAGCTAGGGCGATGATGTTTTTAAAAACGATGCAAATATAGAATAAGGCTTCTGCACATTATAGCATTATTTAGAGAGTGGAAAGTGACTTACAATTTATGGAATAATGCTACTTTATGGAATAGCCTGCAACCATTAAATTATTATGAAGAATGTAAAATATACAGAAAAGTACTTATTGTAGAAATACATTACAAAGTCACATGTGTGACTTGTCCGTATGAACAGGAAGGACTGAGTGGAAAGGCCTCCTGGCACCATAGTTAGTGTTTAGGTTCAGCTTGGCTGTGGTCACAACCTGATCACAACATTTCTGTAGTTAAGGCAGAAAAGTGTTTCTTGACTGTGTAGCAGTTCTAGGGTGGGTAGAGAGGTGTGCAGGGCATCCCTCTCCCTCAGCCCCCCAACCACAGTGCCTCGGGGACTCAAGGTTTATTTCCGTCTGCGGGCCACCATCTCCAGGGCCTGTCCTCCGCATCCATCCTGCAGGAGGGGGCAGTTCATGCAGCCTGGGAAGTTTTGTGGGGCTCAACCTGTACGTGGTGCACATCACTTCTCAGCATATTCCACTGGCAAAAACTTCATCACATGGCCACACCAGACTGCCAGTTAGACTGGGAATGTCAACAGCTGTGTGCCCGTCTGCTATTCTCGCTCCATGAAAGGAAAGGATGGATGATGGATTTGGGGGACAACCAGTGGCTTCTACCACAGATGAATTTTGGGTCAGTGGACAAGGGGAGACTTAAAAGTCTATGTCTTCCCAATTTTCTCAGAAATAATTATGTAAAAAGTGTTAGTGCCATAACGAGGCTATTTGATATCAGAAACTCTGGAAATAAGTGTGATCTCAGATCACAGCTTAATCCATTAATAAATAAAATCTATCTCGTCTTAAGTAGATGGAGCAAAGGGTTTTCTTCCTGGAGATTCTGCCGGTCTTAGGAGTATTCCCAGAGGAAAAGCAGGGTGTGTGGGAATAAGTGATGGTAACTTGGGGGGGGGGTC